GTCTAACGCCCAACGTTGTTCACCCAGCGAACAACTACTAGCCAGCACCGATGCTGATAGTAACGCTGCCCCCGGCAGCGACGACGACGACGACGACGACGACTACAACAACAACAACAACAACAAACTGCCACGTCTAAGAGTTCGCTGCTGGTAATGTTGATGTTGCGATGATGCCGGCTGAGCCTCTGTCGCCACAAACGCCGCTACCTACAATTCTTACTGATGGAATCTCCTTTCACTGGAGGTCGGACTTTCTACTGCTACTAGCGGGTCCATTCGGACCTGGCAACGGATAGCAGCAGCAGCAGCAGCAGCAGTTATCGATGGACAGATGAACAAACGATGAACAGATATAACAGAAACAACAAAGCGAAACAGTGACGACGACAATAACAACAACGACGACAATGCAATCTATGAATGTTAGCTTACTCTTACTATGCCTAGGGGGCAGGCAGGGGATGGGGCGCGGGAATGGCTGTCTGCTGTTGTCCGTTCAGAGCTTCTGCCGCCCAGCTCATAACCGACGTGGCTACTCTATATGGGGAAAACAAATCTGTGACAAAATTTCTTTGAGACAACGAGTGGGCGCAGAGTTTGAGCGGATGTGCCGAATATGTGAAACGGGAATGTAGGGTCTGACGGTCTTTAGGGAAAGCCAGTAATGGGAATAGGGAATCGGCTGCAACGGAGAACAGATTCTTTATATCTTTCTTGCTTGTTTCGTCTGTCTTGCTTGTTGCTAAGGGCGACAATACAGTTCATTTTGAATTTTTTTAAGGCTATGAAATGAAAAATGGCACAAAGAGCCCTAACAAAATAGAGAGAAAGCTTGCTTTTGGCATGTTGTCGTTTGTCTCTAGAATTATAAACGCATACATGCATAGCATATTGGAATAGAACAGCCTAAAATAGAGAAATTACAACAAGCGTTTGAAACATGGCGCCACTAGGAGGGAGATGAGGAACATTGACTACGTACACAACTAACTGGGCAGTTATTTTGTTCCAATTTTAGTTTCTTTTCTATACGGCGCAATAGCGGACTTTTGGATGCACCTCACGAAATTCAGCAAAACCCTCAAAAATGTACTTTACAGCATAACTATGCACCGACCCCGAGCCGGCTTCATTTAGCTTCTACACAACAATGCCACGGTTTCGTTCGCATAGACAAAATAAAGATGAAGTAATCTAGTTCAATGTTTGAAGTTAGTTTGTATCGAACTATTATGTCAGTGACTTAAGCTATCGATATACAAGAAAAGAAAAAGCTGAATCGTTAGGTGGGAGCTTAATAAAGAAAAAGCCGTGTCGATAGATGTATGCTTTATCGCACTGAAAGGTATTTTCTCTTCGTTTTTGATGCATAGATAATTTCTCTAACGGTTATTACGTTAAAGCGGGTTAGTTTCCGTTTCAATTTCCTAGTTCAGATTTAAATGACCCATGAATTGTTTCGCGTCGAGCCAAGCTCTTCTATATAAAACTTGAGAATTTTTGCTTCCTACGCTTTTCAAAAGCCAAACGCAGTCATCTTAGTTCCTTCGTATAATTTCCGTCATGTGTTGTTTTTGTTGTTGTTGTTGTTGTTTGTTAGTCGCTCACTATCTCTCCGAGAAGTGGGAGGCACTGGCTGACCGGCTGGCTGGCTGGCTGGCTGGCAACAGCAGCAGCATCAGGAGGAGTACTGCAACGACGGCGGTTGTGACGAGATGTGATGCTGTTGTGCTCTATGCTATCGTCGCTGGCGTCATCGTGGTTGTTGTTGTGATCAACGTTAGATGCACTGATGGTAGTGTGGGTTGCAGTAGGAATAGTTGGTGCTGGAATCAGCAGCAGCAGCAGCAGCAGCAACAATGGATGCCGATAGCTACTTGGGCCCTGCTCTTGTTGTCGTCATTGTTCAGTCGTTCTCATATACTATGCCGATCGGTCTAGCTCTCCTATCCGTTCTTGCTTCTACATATATGTTTATATTGTGTGTTTACTCACGGGGCCCTTCCGCTTGCTTTCTGCCTATTTTGCCGCTGGTCGCTTCGGTCCCAAACGGTGCTAGCTAATCTGACCGAGAGAGACACGATGCTTGGTCTGAGATCAGAGGCGATGACTATACCGATAGCGGCAGCGACAACGGCCGATCTCAATCTAACGAGGGGGAAAAAGGCGAAATCGAACGCAACGCAGGGATAGATCGAGTTGTTATGGACGCAGCTGCAGGCAATCGCTTCCACCCGCTGGGCGCTGGCTACTGCTCTGACGGCCGTCTGGCCCCGTCCACGTATACGGCTCGACACGAGAAGAAAAACAGAAACTCAACGAAAAAAGACCGTCTGGGTTTGAGAAAGAATCAGGGACACGTATGCATATAAAAGCACACCTAAACCGACGAACGATTATAAGGCTGCAGGACGATTACACATGTCAAAGCCCGTCCTTACGATTATAACTACTATTGAAGATACCTGCTTTTGTCGCATAATTGCCTCCTCGCTCCCATTTTACTTACCTGCAGTCCATCGTGCCTGCTTTCCTTTAGTGTTTTTTCGTCTATCATAGATGTACATAGATAGGATTCGTCAATAACAGGATCAGTAGCGATTGCTGCGTTGTTGCTATACCTAGACCACTACGAAACTTTCAGCTTATGCACAGTGGTACTTTCCAACACAGAAGTTACATGTTAGGTGTGTCAATGTTACGATGTGTGCAGACGCGTCTAGTGCATCGATGGGTTTGTCTATTCGACCCTTCAGGCTTCCTGTATCGTCATCATTTGCGTCTGCTCGACATGTTCTCTACACTGCTCATACTTCTTGTGTACCTGTGGTTCTTCGACGTCGGTTATCTATCCCTGCACGGTTATGGGACGGAGACACGATGAATGATTACCGCATCTTACTCCGCTCTGTTCCCGAACGCCCACATTCCTACCGATCAGCCCCATTCGGTCATTTCTACCATCTTCGTTTTTCTCTTCCAGTAGCGTTTACCCCAGTGGTACCTTTGTATCCCAAGGGTCTCTACACTACCATCGCTTTCGTCGCTACGTACACACGTCGACAGTCTTTTTTACACCCACTCACACAGAGTGACGCTCACATACATTTTCTCTTTATTTTAGACACGCATATCGGCAGCAAGAGACACCCACAGAACCATATCTGCGCCACATATAAGCGAAACACACAGTATTCTCTCGTCGCTACCGTCGTTGCTTGTGTTACACACTCAACCCTTCGGGAAGGGCAATGGCCAGTTCAATGTTGTAGGCGGCAAGATCGAGGTCAAACACGCGGCAAGGTTGCAAAAGTCGGCTAAGAACGACACGCAGCTGCAGCCGCTGTTGCGGGGCATCACAGCAGCCGTCACTGAGGTGGGCGCCAGCTGTGGCTGTGCGCTTCCATTGATCCGACAGCCGCGGCGATCGTAACCGTAGCAGCTGCAGTAGCGAATAGAAAGAAACGTGTGGCTTGGCTTACGTCTCAGCGACGTGGCGTGCCGCACGACAGAGGGCGTCATCGTCGGCGTAGGTATGAGAAAGGTCGAATGGCGGCCGTGGTCCGATGAGACTAGTGATTAGGAGAAGCAGAATAGATGGTAGTTTTGATTTGCGAGAAGCAAGGGGCTGACGGTGCGTGCTTCGTGCCAGTAACCTTCGAATTGATAGAATGAAGCTGCACAGGTTTATCGCTAATTGGTTTCCTTTCCTCCGCCTGACGCTGATCTAGCTTCTGTTAAAACACCGCGCTACCAGCAGCTAAAAAAATAATAGGTAATTAAATTTTTCCTTCCTCGACTAGAAAGGAGGTTCATTGGATAGGTGCTTGCTTCTTCATTCTTGTATCCTTTGGAAGTTGCAAGTGACACAAAACGAATTAACGTCTCTACCAATGGCTACTGCCCTCTAACTTAACCAGTTATTGAGAAACAGTAATCAAATGGGGAGAAATGACACGATTCAGAAGTTCCGCTGTACTCGCATCAGGTAGGCTGACCTTTTAGAGAATGCTATATGCGAGAAATATAGCAAGGTACTGAAGATCGTCAATCCACCATTATCTTTTTCAGCTGAATTTTACCCTATTAATCCATTGTCCTCTAAGGTCTTCACGGTAACAAACTTCGTTAAGGTTCGCTTCATCTGAGCGTTGAAGTCAAACCGCATGATGTTTATTTATTTTTCCCCAATGCTTCTTGCGTACCCGTTTTTTTCGACTGGTTTACCTCGCTAGCTCGATGCACGAACGATAGCAGAGTCACTGAAGCGTTCGTCAACCTACTTGGTACAACTCGGATATATGTTTGTGTATTAGTTAGTCGTCGCTTGCTGGCAGATAGCGACTAAGCATGGTCATGTTGTCGTAGAGTATTTCGCAGCGCTAACCAACGAAGTGCTGATAAAAAAATAATCCCTCCGTATCGGCAGCCATTGATGTTGATGACCTAGAGCCAATCCTATTTATACCATGTATCCTTCTACTTGATTCACGTTTACTGAATCAATTTATCCAAATTTACAGATAAGCCTAGCCTAGGACAGAAACTCATCTATAGTTGAGCTCGTAGATACCCTTCGAGCCAGATATTATTACATTAACAACAACAACAACAACCAATTAACTGTCACAGTTCAAGCGTCGCTCGTTACCTATCAATCATCATCACCATGTCCTGTTTCTACAATTTAACCTATGAAGTTCTATAGCTGTGCGAGCTAGTCCGGTAATTATACAACTATTTTACTACTAGTACTTTTACTATCGGCGATGCGAATATGGGCGACTTGTTTGGGCGGGAGGCAACCGGGTCCGTGCGGGAGCTATGGAGTTGTCAATGTGGCTAGTGTCGTTAATGATGATCATGGGAATCTCGTGATGGAGCATATGTTTACACGTGGTTACTCATTATTTGGATACATATAAAGCTCGCAGTGTTGTTTTTCCTGCTTCTGTTAACTTTGTCGCCGTTGTTATTGCTGTTATTGTGTGTTTTAGGAGGATGAGCGCATGATGGAGCATGAGGGTGGAGCCTTGGAAACGGAGCCGGGCCACGCGATCAATCTGACTACCTCAACCTCGTCGAGTATCGCACCCTCCTCGCCCGCTTCACCGCCCTGCTCGCAAACCAACTCCTTCATGGGAGGCGAGCGCGCACCGTCCCCCAACACCACGGACCTCTCCGGAAAGCACGTTAGTAGCGAATTATTGATGACCCCGTTCGGTTTGATTCTGCAGTTTAATATGTGTACTAGGTAATATATAGATAGAGAACACCGACTTTTAGCTTTCATAACTGGAACAAAAGTCGGTCTCGTGCAGATAGTACGCAGCTACCTCTTTTTCAAGCCGGTTTATTACTTCTCGCCTTTCATAGTAGGCTACGATCTAGCTGTGTATAAGGTATTGATGTCTAGGTAAAAAGGAGTACCGAGTTGACGTGATTGCCACGTTGTTTATTTATTTATTTATTATATATATCTAATTCTTGCGCGAAACTACAGCGCTACTCTAACGAAGCAGGACGTTAAGAACATGTCTACGTAAGGTCGTCGTTTGGACAAGGGTAGTTGAGCCAGCAACGAGCCAAGCCACCTTAAGCAATGCGCCCATATGATGGCTACGGAATCGTGACTCCCTCTCCTAAAGGGAAAACGAAAAATGTCTTCTGTCTATCTGACATTAACAGGAAACCACTTTTAGTCTGAAGTGCTCTTTCGGCAAACTTTCCCATTCAATATCTTTCTCATTAGAGATAAGGCGTCCGATTCAACAGTTGCAATTTGACTCATTGGTACCTGTAGACATCTTCGTAGATGTTATCTTTTGGCTAAGCAGGTAGCTGTATATCAAGATTTTGCTTATAGGCTGCTATAATTTCGAACGCAGGCTATTTGTATGCTTTTCTGAAACACTTACTTAAAGCCTAATGTAAAACTTCAAGGAAAAGACTGTCAGGTCTCATGTCATAGTGCAATTAACGGTTCTAACAGAACAACAAGAACCACATCATATGCCAACGGCGTTTTCTCTAGTTCTGCCCAGTTGGGTCAGCAATTGTTACCGCTTTCGTAACGCTGACATTGCTGGACTTCTGCTACTCCTGCTGGCACCTGGCCTGTAAACAAACTTCAGGTATCACAAATAAGGGTAACAACCGACTAAGTGTCAGGCCTGTAACAGCGGCTAGTTGAAATGATTGTCCTTTGGCGAATAAACAGGCCCTGTCATATTGATCTGGGATATAATAGTTCAGCTGGCTACGACTATCGGCGTCAGGTGAAAGGCGAGACAGCTTGTAACGATCGGTATTAATCTTATGCAAGCGACGTCAAAATGATGCTGCAATGCAGATTATCACATATTGCCTTATAGGTAAAGTCCCATTGAAGAACTTATGTTAACAACTCAATATAGGCCAGAGCTGTCGAGGTTATTTGGAGAATATATTGTCAAGAAGACCTCGCTGTAGCCTGGGAACCTCATTAATCTGTTACGAGCCCTTTACCGTTGACAGCAAATTCGACTACGTCGACAGTGTCAATTTGGTATACAGTCAGGCTAAGTCCCCTGAGCGTAGCCCAAAATATGTGTGATCGCATAACTTTTACCGAAGAATATGTTGACGCGTAACAACCCCATACCCTGTGATGATGCGGAAGATAATACTGCTGAATTATGTATATTATGGAGAACTCGATCGAATCGACAACGCTTGTAGCCGGTCTTAAACCACGAGGACTTCTACGCAAACACTTGACAATAACACAGCCCTTTATACACTTATTATATATAGTATAGTACCCTACTGTTGGCCATATATCGTTGTCTCGACGCCTAGTACAGACTCTGCCACAGAGAAGTTGTTTCTGTCAAAAACGCGGACTCAGACAGTCAGCCGGACTCCGCTTTACTTCATCTGATGTTGTTGCTGGCCGCGTCCAACCCCCGTGTCAATTCGTCTATAGAAAAACGAAGCGGTTGTCACACCTGTTATAGCGCTTCTTATATAACTATCTGCATGCGTGTTAGAAGAATGCTGATTGACCGTAGATCAACAACAATAGCGTCGACCCAGAATATAACGTAGTGCAGAGTGACGTTGAATGAACGTGAGTATGCCTGGCGGACAGACTGGCTAGCCCGCTGTTCGTAACTGTGCTGTCATTGATGGCTAGAACGACGCTAGCGGCCAAGGTGGCCACGTAACGTTCACGATCCGTACCTACCTGCGAGTGCAGATCGAGTAATATTTGCCACATCAGATTGGTGCCCCTCCATTCCCCTTCAAGGTTCAACACCCTCGTCGTCTGTTCGTTTTGTTATTACTGCTAGAGAACCGTTTGGACTCAACGACGATAGCATCAAATACGAGGATGCTGACGATCGACGCATTGTGCAGGTGAGCTGCACGCACAGCTGGTATATACGTATAGGTAATATGATGGGACAGGGAATATTAGTGGCTGATTGTAGCAATAGTGACGATAGTTGCCCGCACTTTGAGCTCTTGTTTGTCCGCTGGTTGCTTGCCAACGCGATGTGATGTTCTGTTGTTGGTTTAACCCAGAACCCGCGTCCCGCACGACCACAACGAAGCGTGTTGTAGTTAGGCTAAACTTAGCACACAGCAGGACAAAGGCCGGGGACTGCGACAAGGCCTGGTCCAGCCCAACTGGACCCGAACACGCCGACGCAAAATGGCAAGATAAACAATAGGCCAAACAAAACAGTAGCAGCAACCAATAAAAATAACAGCTGCGGCGATACATTTACATTTGCGGTTCCCTACTGGTGAATTCCCTGCGTGGCGTTTGGCGTTGCCATGCACTTTATCCGTTTTCGCTGTGCCTGAGTCCGTGTGTGCCCTCTATACTGATTTTTCAACTCGCACGTATACATCAAAAGTAAAACGTTAAATAGTGCTATATCGATCGCATATGGCACAGCGAAGATCAGATGATGCCAGCGGAACGTACTTATGACACGAGCGATTGCTCTGATCGCGTAAATGCAGCTGTTGTTAACTGTGACTGCAGTGGTCAGATTCGCCGTCGGCTCTGGCCTTCATCTCGTAGCTGAGGTCCGTGGTCGTCTTCGGGCGATGATGACGTTTGCACAACGTCCGTGGCCAGCGCAATGGCGGCGGCGGCGGCGGCGGCGTTACTGGTCTATCCAAACAGATGGCCGCGCTTTGTCTACCTATTGACGGATGCCTGAATTAATGTCACTGCCGAGTTCGACGACAGTGGGCAAGTGACGAATGGAGCTAGCAACGATCCATGGACAAAATGTATCATATTATAGAGCAGCAGCGTAGAAGGCCAACGCCACTGCTCGCCATATTATTTGTTTTAACCCGACTGTCGCCAAATCTATAGCGGCGTTCAGCTGTGCTTGCGACTTCCACCGAATCGTGTTACACTAAGTCCAATTCGGGCTACCAGGGAGGGTCGGTAGATTTACCAGTAGCGGCAGCAGCAGCAGCAAAAGTACCGGCTGCGGCAATACGAGATAGGGCATTCAACATAACATAACATAACGGGTGCGCCTTTCCAAGCCCAAATACACACGAATGCATACATTTATAGACGACAATAACGTTAATGGTCCTAATGGGGGAATTCGCATTTCGGTGATCGCTGCTACCGCTGCTAATGCTCTAGCTTGATCTGTGAGTTCTGTGACCCGTCCGTTCGAGATGTGTGCTTACATAGTTAGTTGAATTCCGACCGGCTGGCCTATTCGTCGTACGCGTATATGTACAGTGAAGTAGCATCTCTTTGATACGAACGTTCCTTCGTTCCGCGTCTCCCTTCTTGCTTGTCGTGTGCATGAATGAATGATTCGCATGAATAATTATGTTTATGCGTCCTCCTTTGTCTCGTTCTTGTTTTCACTCAATAACTCTCCCGCTTTCAATGACCCCGTTGTAGTGTTGTTATATGCTGGCAACTTTTCTGTTGTCGTTTCTAACCACTCCGACGTCGGTTTACGATTACATATGTAGACATGTCAGATGATGTCTGCTTTCCAGAGGCAAACACGTCCGGTCAGTGCCGGCGCACGTTGTTGCTTGTCATCTTGAAGAAATATAGGGAAACAATGATTTCAAACAGATAGAATGTATAAACGTATACGACCATAAAAACATTCCGTTTGTTCATTGGTCGCTCGTGATGCCCTATGATGATCATCAGGATGCTGGGTAGGGAAGACTTCAGGGTACATGCTGATTAGGCAGCAAACGATGACATATGAGAGAAGCACTGAAACACAACTTGAAAACCGGCCGTTTCGTGCGACTGGATCTGTACTCAAACAGCGCAGTATTGGCCATGAACCGATTCTACCTAGAGAGGTCTATTTGATTAGAGGTAGCACAAAAGACGCGCGAAGCAATCGACGCTACTCGGATTTAACACCTCAGACCTTTTTATAGATTCCTGTGGTCATGCGTTTGTAAACACCAGCCTAAAGCAACCCTTAACGACAGTACTGGATTTAGACCTCGAAAGAGTTTGTCCCCGCTACAGACGAAACAAGTGTCGAGAAAAAGCCCCTCTATAGACGCCGATGTGCCTAAGGTTCTATGATTTATGCGTGGAAGACTTCAGCTCTTCGAAGCACTAGCATCGAATGCCGACGCATTTAATGGGTCAACCTATTGCTTGTCATATTTGCATCTTGTTTGCTCGCCAGTCAGTATCATCGTATCACTAGTACTCGGATAGATAGCATTTTAAACACTTCCTCGCACGCACTCAACGAACGAATCAAGTAAAAAGCTTGCCTGATCAATCCGATGAAATCGACCCGCCGAATAAGCATCGAACGATCCCCCGATAGGCCTTTCTCCTTGCAACATGTGTCCCCCGTGTGAATTTTACTTCTCGTTTCACTCCTACACGCTACGCTCCTTTAGACTAGTTCTAGCGAGCTTTAATATACCTTTCTCAGCAAAAAACAAAATGGTACCCAAAAGTATTAAATAAGACCTGTTGCCTGTGCAATGAATGGTGCCATCCCCGCCGCACAGTTCCTGTATGCGTCATATATATTATCTGTATAAAAGCTGAAACGAGAACCGTGTTCTTCTTCGCCATTATCAGCCTCAATATTGACGCCGTCACCGTCGTTTCCAGTTTCGAATAGTACGCAGTGAATCACAAACAAAATCGACGATCTATTGC